TTTGGAAAATTCCATTCAACTTTCAAATGTACTGCCGCCGAGAGGTCTGGACAAGTACTTCATTGGCTTTTGCGTCGTAAACTCACTACTCCTCGCATCAAAGTAATAGTCCGGCTATTTTCTTAGCTTATATATCACTTGGGTCGTGAACAATTTGTAAGGATATAAATTATGTTTATAATGACAACTTTTTATTACACCTAACATTCTCAGTATGATTCCAAAAACAGTATACAACAATAACCATGGGAACTAGGCAGCTAGACACAACGAAGGGTATTTTGGGCGATTCCACGTGCTTTAGAATGGGTTTTCATGTTTCTTGTCAAGTTCGGTCATGGCTGACTTATTAAACAAGAAGCATAAAGATATTTCCCCAAAAGGGAAAGTCTTGGAAAAAAGAAAGATCGAAGGGATGTAATCGTTCTAAGTGACGACCAGGATGAAGTTAGTGTGGTAAGAGGAGGCAATTAATTATTTTGTATGGAAATTGTTGCAGTCTTAGCAGTCAACGACGAAAATCTCATTGAAAAATAAACTGCAGCAGTGAATATCAAACAAAGTGATTATGAACATTATCTGCAGGAATCAACAACAATATCAGCAATGAAAATCAAAGAAAGTGATGGTGAAAATTATCAGTTTATAGGGCTTTGTGAGAGGATGTGATCTCTTGGGCTTTCTTATTCCATTTATAATAAGGAAATTCGTTTACCACAGGTAAAAAAAATTCATTACTTCACACCCTCCGAAGTTGTATTTTTGTTATGGTCGAGTAGAGGAAGAGTAGATGACAGTGGCAGAACATTGGTTGCGTTGTGTCTCAAAGGATATATTCAAATCAAATGCTTCGCCTGTTTTCAAAAAGTTAAATAACATGGTCATATAATAAAATATATGTTTTGCTGTAGTTATGGTTTTTTAAATATATTTTTTGGACTTTTTTTCAATTATTGGACGTATGCAGCGGAAAATATTCAGTCGATAGTCTCCTTTCTTATACAAGTAGGTATTTGATGAAATGATGTGAATTTGACTGTGTAATGATGTTATAGTAACAAAACTCACTATTGGTCACTCGAGGTCACTCGTAAGTACTTTTAGACCCTATCGTCATGGAAGAGTTGTTCTGTGTAAAATGAAACTCTTTCCGCTCCACAGCGCTGTCACATACATGTAGGCGTTCCCACATCATATCAGATTGTTTGACATGAATACGATGACAGTGATTGTCAAAAGTTTGCGTAGTGCCAGATTTTAAACGGTTGTTCAAATTGTATCAAATGGATACCTTTAGCGTGAGGAATAAATAGTCTTTCTTTAATCTTGTATGCTTTGGCAGTTTATTTTCTAGCCAGTGGAACTAAAACTTTCGAGAACACAAAACATGAAAAAAAAACTTCTAATTGGTTACATTCTTCTGCACTTGACTGTTTCTCTATCACAAGAAGGTTATACAAATCTTTTCCAGCACGTCAAACTTTGCATGACAATTTTATTATCAACAGAATCAGCGACACGCAATTTTACCGCTAACTCAAATACGCAAATTTGGTAGAATGAAATTCGATACTCGATCGCACTGTCTGATTGCGCAACGAGGTCCTGATCTCTTTGCTTTCTTCTTGACGCAGTGAGAGAAAGTACAGTTATATTTCCCACGCGATCTTGCATTTCATTTGCCTGTGGCCAAGAACTTTGTCAACAATTTCTTCGTGACTTGAGTACGTAAGGAATTTTTTGATCTGTTGTAGAATTCAACAGAAAAGCTGAAAATACATGAAACTCAAAAGTTGTTCGTGACTTGAGTGCATCAGGAATTCACATTACCTGTTGTAGAATTCTACAAAAAATACACGATACTCACAAAATTTGGCATCCTAATGAAAAAAACTACTTAATGTGTTCCCTTCTATAAGAGATAGCAATATTTCCAGGGGGTGTGTGAAATTTTTGGAAATTTTGGAGGGGAGGGGGGGTTAATTTTGGGGCCAATTTCAGAAAATCCAGAGGGGAGGGGGGGTCATACGGCAAATCCCTTCCATGGGGGGAAATGGGTAGTTTCTGGAACCACGCATTTTGAACAATAATTATATGAGAGAAAACATCAATATAAATGGTATTCTAATTGATACTGATACGATATTTCACCTTTGCATGTCACTTTAAACAAGAACCAACAACGAGAATGTAGATATTTTTTCACGTAATAACTTCAACTAGATCAAAACCCTTGTGAACATGATCACTATTCTTACTCTAAGAGAAGAACAAATCTTTCTCTCTATGAAAATGTAAAGAAGTCCCAATTCAAACGATTACTTCTATTACTTTTCCTTTGTTAAACAAAAAACTTTATTAGCTTTTACAGTACATCATCCACTACAAACATGCTAACATCAACAACCCATGCTAAGGACACCAAGTTGATTTCGAAAGTAATTGTCACCAGTCCTCCCTCCTCTAAAGTCAAAGTAAAAACATACAAACTTTTTCACTTTCTGTTAAAAAAGTACTAAAGACCTATTCACAAAATTTGTATGAATGCTGCAATATAATTATTACACACTAAACATTGCTTTTGTTTGCATTTTGGATGAAATTGATGAATTCTGATAAACAACTAGATCCATATTGTGGCCATGTTACCGGACGAGTCAAGCATATTTTAACTTGCTACTCCATCATGACTAGTAAATATTTAGCCCTTTCCTATATTCATTGAAGTTATAGTACAAGTAGATTTCTTCATTTGGTTTGATCTTAAGCTTCAATGATTACTTATTGAATGGCTCGTGTATTATCTTTGAATTATTTTGGACTCTTTAAACTTTCATGAAATCATTTGTTTGTATATATATATCACGGTTGCTATGACCACGCTCTCCAACCCTTAAGGAATTGTTAGTAATTTGAAAGGTTACGACTTTACGATCTTTAAAAAGTTTAAAGATCAAACTTGGCTTTCTACAAGATCACTAATTTCTACCTACACTGACACGTTCAAGTTGTCATATCACAACACTTGCACATGCCTACATTCGATGTAAAGCACTCCCTGAACATCAATTTATTAATGTTGCGCTGTTTTTGCTGTAAGTATTACCGGTATGCCTAATTATCATAATATAACCAAGATAAAAGAAGCAAATTTTCAAAAGCTTATTTGAAACTCTTAGAGATCAATGAAACATTCAGTTTGAAGGCAATCGAACGGAAGACTGGTAACAATTACTTTTGAAATCAACATGGCGTCCTTAGCCTGGGTCGTCAACATTTATATGTTTGGGGTGGATGATGTACTGTCAAAAAACTAAAAACTTGTTTGTTCATCAAAAGAAAAGTAATAGAAGTAATCGTTCCAATAGAGAGTTCTTTACATTTTCAATGAGAGAAAAAATTGTTCCTTTCTTCAAGTAAGAATACTGATCATGTTCACAAGCATTTTGATCTAGTTGAAGTTAACATTATTACATAAATAAATATCGACGTTTTCACCATTGGATCTTATTGGAAGTGACATGTGAAGGCGAAATATCTTATCGGTATCAATCAGTATACCTTTTATGTTGATATTTCTCACTTACAATTATTGTCCAAAATGACCACTAATAGCTGTGCGGACAGTCCAAAACTTGTGCAAAAAGACTTGTGCACAAACTCTCTTGTGTGAAATGTCTGGTTACCGGATTAATCACCATAATTTTGACCAGGGACTCACCCTCAATAGGTGAGACTCAACAGCTCTGCAATTAACAATTTTTTCTAAAGATTTCCTTTTACCCCAATTAATTATTGTCATTAATTATGCAGGCCAATGGTAAAGATTCTTCCATAATTGATAGTCACAGATTGCCACAAGCACATTCCATTTAATGGAAGTTTTTATCTAAGATGTTATAAAAGATAGTAAGTAAATGTTCTTCCTTAGTTTATCATTTGCACTTGTCAACAAAATAATGACAAAATTACTGACAGAAAAATCATGTAGACTGACCTAAGTAAATATTCTTCCTTTTAGTTCATCTTCACTATCGTGAACTCAATCACCGTAGTAATCCTTATCAGCCTGGTTAACTCCGTTGTAAAGAAAAAATAATCCTTAGTTTTCTGGTAAATGAGTGTTGCCAAGAATGAAAGTTGAGCTTAGAACACTTTGCCTGAGTTAACATGAATATCCTAGTGAACTACAGTGGAAACTAAGAATATTGCAGAAGGTATCACATTTATTGTATCAGCTTCAAAGTCTGCCTAGTTTTTGAGACCCTTGTCCAAGTAGTGTTTTCAAACTTTTCCAAACTCAGACAGAAACTTAAAATGAGTGAGCACTTTAAACAATTGTACAATAAAAAATTCTTGAAATTTGTTTTCAAACATTGCAAATTATTATCAAACCTCAGCCTTCAGCTTCAGCCAATACCTCAGACCTCAGTTTTAATAAATTCATAATAGAAAATTAAAATTAAAATTTTATTGCTCCAAAATCCAAAGTTAAAGCTCAGAACATCACACAGTCCTAAAGTAAAGGCCTGGTAAAGAACACAGGTCTCTTGACTCATTTTTTAAAACTGTTTAAATTCATGATGAACTCTATCCAACAATAATAATTGCGGTAACCACTTGTTTTGAACAGTCAAGCACGTTCCATTGTGAGAGGTCATGGGGATATTAATATCAAAACTCTTTGTACCATTATTTCTAGTCGCAGTGAATGGCGACCGAGAACATTTGCCGTCGAGAAGCTTAACTCTCTCTAAGTTGCCCTTCTTTTAATTCCAAGAGGAGATCAAATATTAATAAGATCAGTCATATCGATCACAAATTGTGAAACCTGCAGAAACAAATTCAACTGGTGCCGCCTGTACTCAAGGTTGTTCAGTTGAGATACGAAACAAGTAGATGACCATGATTTCGATCAAAATTTTGTATTGATATAACTTAGATTACTGCAGTTGGTCGGTGTGACTTGTGGAGACAAGAAGGGAAAAGGAAAAATTTACCTTTATTGACGTCCACGATCACTTCGAACGGAACTTGAAGTTCTTAATTTTGCTTTAATTGGGCTGAAGATTCTCACAAAACAGACATCGTAATCGCTTTTGATATCGTTGATGAAAAACTGATTGATTTTCAGAATTTTCAGCACGATCATCACTTAATGCGGGTAAACTCGTAACACACCATACGACAGTCTTCTACGTTAATTTGCTTACCAAAGCATATACCTCCCGTGGATTCCTCCCGTGAGTCTACGATCCTATGCGTGGAATCTGGGTAAAGCGTTCATGTAAGGTCCATATCATGTCCCAATAACTAATACACATTAACACCAAGTATTATTACCCTCATGTATGTTGCACGATATGTCCTATGTAACCTTGTTCTATCAGTTACTTTTGTTCTCCCTCATTAACCCACATCTACCCTAATTTACCTATGTTCTACTACGTTTACCCCCATATACCCTTGATTAACCATGTTCTACCGCGCTAACACTCATCTACCATAGGTAACCCATGTTCTACCGCGTTTACCCCCTTCTAGCCTAGGTAACCCATGTTCTACCGCGTTTACCCCCATCTACCCTTTTTTAGCCATGATCTAAAATGTTCACCCTCATCTACCCTAGGTAACCCATGTTCTACCACGTTTACCCCCATCTACCCTAGGTAACCCATGTTCTAACTCGTTTACCCCCATCTACCATAGGAAACCCATGTTCTACCACCTTTACCCCCTTCTACCCTAGGTAACCCATATTCTACCGCGTTTACCCCCATCTACCCTTTTTCAGCCATGTTCTACAACGTTCACCCACATCTATCCTTGGAAACCCAATTTCTACCACGATTACCCCCATCTACCATAGGTAACCCATGTTCTACTTCCTTTAACCCCATCTACCTTAGGTAACCCATCTTCTACCACGTGAACCCTCATCTACCCTAGGTAACCCATGTTCTACCACGTTTACCCCCATCTACCCTAGGTAACCCCTGTTCTACCACGTTTACCATCATATACCCCAGGTAACCTATGTTGTACCGTGTTTACCCCCGTCTACGCTAGGTAAGCCATGTTTTACCACGTTTACTCACATCTACCCTTAGTCAGCCATGTTCTACCACGTTTACCCTCATCTACCCTGGGTAACCAATGTTCTATCACTTTTACCCCCATCTACCCTTGTTTAGCCAACTTCTACCACGTTCACCGTCATCAATCCTAGGTAACCCATGTTCTAGCCCGTTTACCCCCATCTACCCTTGTTTAGCCACGTTCTACCACGTTCACCGTCATCTACCCTGGGTAACCCATGTTCTACCACGTTTACCCCCATGTACCCTTATTTAGCCATGTTCTACCACGTTCACCCTCATCTATCCTAATTAATCCATGTTCCACCACGTTTACCCCCATCTACTCTTGTTTAACCATGTTCTACCACGTTCACCCTCATCTACCCTAGGTAACCCATGTTCTACCCCGTTTACCCCCATCTACCATA